CAGTTGGGGATGACAGTACCAGGGTAATGGGATTAGTGCAGGCTGCTGACAGGGGATTGTTTCTTTCCACAGAGGAGGACTTCAGCTTCCAGGGCTCTGAGACATTTCAAGCCCAGGGTTTTTGTGTGGTGTGAACATTCACACCCCCACAGGTGTCTCATCAGAGGCCGCCCTGCCCAAGTGCCCTGTTGGATCCTGCTGTTTGGGTTTATACATCTGAACTTGCTTTTGCTGTTACACTAATTGCTCTGTATCAATTATTCATTGATTCAATAATGAAGCAGGGAATGGGTAGAAAACCCTGCTGTGCAATAAGCCCTGAGCTCCATCCAGCCTTGCAAAGCTGCTGTGGCTCAAGGAGGGCAAGGAGCGGAGCGGCTGGGGGTATGCTCCTTGTGAGCACTTTCAAGATGACTCCCATGAAAATGTTCTCAAGTTCTGGTAGTTCTGCTTTGTGTTTCTGGCTTAATTTTCTTCCTCTCAGCCCCATGCTGTGTACTTGGTTCTTAGTGGTCACTTTTTAAGTCTCAGGGTGCTCATCATCAACAGTTTTGGTAGCATTTCACAGGGCCAATTAGAAGTTTCTGATCTGATGGATCTGGACACAGTTTGTCCCATGCTAAGAACTAAAATCGTAATTTTTTTATTCCACTTTAAAAAAAAAAAACCCTACTTTGGAAATGTTGATATTTCCCTGGGTGATGTAGGTGCTGTTTTCCTCTCGTCCTATCTGCCCTATGGAGGGATGTTACCTCCTCATAGGGAATGCACTGCCAGTAGTGAACCTGGCTGCATCCTCCCTGAAATCCCCCTGGAGAGGGACTTGGTCTCATTCCCCTGGAGTTAAATCCTTTTGGGGACAGGTGAGGCACCTTTGAGCAAAGGTTGATTTAAGAGCAGCAGGACCCAGAGAGGTTCCTCCATGGGACACGTGGAGGATGGGGCTGCCATGGTCAGGGGACAGCCCATGAGAGCAGCTCTTCCAGCAGTATCTTGGGAGGTCCATTAACTCCTCCTGGGCTGAGAGCACAGTTGAGCAGCATATCCTTCACTCTCCTGTTCATCTTGATGTCCAACAGTCTGTTACGTGCAGGGATTTTCCTGCTTTACCCAATCTCTGATCTTGGCTGAGGATCTGGGTGAGGGCAGTTCTCCCAGGGGTGTTTAGCCTCCTCTTCCTCAGCATCACTGCAAGAGAAAGACGTGCATCACAAAACCCGAGCATCCACATTAGGAGCCAGGAAAGGCTGAATTCAATTTCCTTGTGTCCAGGCCTTACTTGAGCCACAGTGGCTCCATGACTGTAAGGAGCAGAGGTTTTGAAATAAGAAGCTTCAGAAAAATCCCTGACCTCCCAGAGCTGGGGATTTAAGGGAATGCCACATATCATGGTGCTTCTGGCAGCATGAGAGCTGGCAGCACCAGGGGAAGGCCAGTGCAGGCGTCAGCTCACAGCTGTGCTATCTTTGTGGCTGGTGTTTTCCCAGCTGGAAGTCCTGGTTGTGGGCCACCAGAAAGGGCACATTATTTAAAGAAATACTGGAGAAGTTGAGGCTGCACTGACAAATCTACATCTGTTAGCTGAAATTTGCTCTGCTAGCAAACTACAGCAGCTCTAGTTGCTAGCAGCAACTGAAGAGCAACTGAAGAGCAGAGGGTTTGCAGTACTATGCCACTGTCTTGGTTTCAAGAAAACTTGTGAGTCAGTGGGTAATGCCCAAAGGCAGAGGGAGTCCAGGCAGTGGGTTACAGGTGCAGAGATTGAGGATGCTGGAGCAGGCAGGGCAATGTTTGGCCTTTTTGGCATATGTTGAGGCTTGTTCAATGGTGAAATCAATATTAGGGGCTCTGTTGCTGTTGCTCTGACCTCAGACCTATCATCTTCCTTCCCTAAAATTACCCTTGATAGTCATCTTGAGGCTCGGAGGCATTGCTTTCTTGTACTTTCTCTTCCCATTCTTGGGACATGGTGCCTTGGCCACTCAGTCTGAGATAGAAACTGAAAACAGTGAAGTGTGAGGTCCTCCAGGGAGGGTGTAACAAAGCCCTGAGGCCTTTCTGGCTCAAGACAGGGAAACCCAGATGTTGAGGATGGGAAGATGCAGATGCTGAGAACAGGGAAACCCTCATACTGAGGATTGGGATACCCAGATGTTGAGAGCAAGGAGCCCCAGGTGTTGAGAGCAGTGAGACTAAGATGCTGAGGATGCAGAGATCCAGATACCAGCTGCTGGCTCCTGAGCTACTGCTGCTGGCCAAGGGAGAGGGACCCATGCTGCAGCGGGACCATGGGATGTTTTGGATGAGCCCTTGAGGTGGAAGGACAGCAGCTCCCTGCTCAGACAGCATCAGCACTGCCTCCATTTGCTGCCTCCTCCAGCAGCCCCTTGGCCACAATGATGGTGAGAAGGAAACCTAGTCACATCCCCGTCCTTGCTGGCCCAACTCAGCTTTGCGCAGCAAGTGGCCCTGGGCTCCCTGATGAAGTCCCTGGTGCCTCCAGCCAAGATCAGGCTTGTTGGCTGGCTGCGATGGCATCACTGCTGCTTTCCTTCCCTGTCTTTCCTCCCCCACCATCAGGTGATGTTTAGCAGAGCACAGCCATGGCCCTTTCTGTGAGGACAGGATTTCACAGCCCTGGTGATGCTTTTAACCAGAGATGGAAACCTCGCTTGGTGGTGAGGCTCCTGCTCATATCCTCTGTGCCACTGAAGAGCAGCAGAGTCTCTGATTGAATTAGGGCAGGGATTTAATTTAATCCTCAAATGTCTCTCATTTTAAAGGAGCCTGTTCATTTCCTTCTAGAGCCTTATCTGATATGGGCAACCAGCAATACTAAGCAGAAGGACTGGACAGATAGGGAGCTGCTGGGGAGGGGGAGGGCTTTGTGGGGAGTTAATTGAGGGCTGCGTGGGTTTTTCCTCTAATTATTTAATGAAATAATGATGACAGTGATTGCAATACAAATAAGACATAAACAGCATCATTAAAACACACGCTGGTGCAAATAGCATCGTTGCATGGCAAATCTGGAAACATTCCCTTTTTACAAGAAATTACCAGGGTGGGAGTGAAACAGCCCCAAGGACAGAGTAAACTGAGCATTTGCTTTGTGCCTCCCACCAAATCCTGCAGTTTTGGGGACAGGGCAGATGCTGCAGATTGGATTGAGAACACAATGGTCACTTTAGTCTTCGGACTCATTGGGGCAGTTCAGGTGATGCTAAATTGCTGCCTGAGGCAAGTCAGGCTGGAAGGGGACAGCACAAATCCTCTCCATGCTCATGGGTGTAAAGGAGACCCTTTTGGCATGATAAAAAAAAAAAACAAGGCACAGGCAGACATGGGTGAGCTCCAATGCATGCTGCCCAGGAGGGAGCTGGCCGCGGCACTCAACTCAAGCATCCTTTTGGAGACCTGGCCCACTTTTTGGACCCGTTAGCTCAGACATGTGCCCACAGATTCTGCCCGGTGCTCTGCGGTCTCTGTGCCATCCCCTTTGTGCAGAGGATGTTTAAGCTGGGGCTTAAACACCTCCAGGGTATTTCCTGGGGATGACAGCAGCTTTTGCAGCCGAACACCTGCATACAGCTCCCCAGTGATATGCAGTGGCGGGTCATGATCCGCGTGTGCTGGCTCTGCAGGGTGAGGTGTTTCACAGCAGGTTGGCTGCCCCAGGGGATGGCTTGCGGGGGTCTGCTGCCACGAGCTGGGACCACTGCGGGGATAGACCCTCTGTCCACACCCATGAGTGCCTCTTCCCAATGGGATGTGAGGCTGGATGGGCTGATTCCTGGGGCTGCTGCTGAAGCCAACCTAACTTAGACAGGGTTGGTAGCTTTGTTAAATTCAGCTTTCTGGTTGGCACTGGGCTCATGAAAATGCTTGGATCTTAAATGGGTATACAGAGACATTTTTTCTGCATGACTTGTTACCTGGGACTGATCCTGTGTCATAACCCCTGCCCCAGGCCTACAGGGTCTGCATAGGTGGGAGCTGCTTCCTGAGGGAGGATTTTTCTCTGCTTTGGTCTTTCTCCCCTGCTGGGCTGGTTTTGCCCCTTTGCCTTAGACTGGCCGTGTGCAAAGGGAAAATCACACAGAAAAAGTACCCAGCTCTGGCAGAGGGGGGCTCATCACAGGCTCCCTCTGCTCATGAAAAAAACTTGGGAGGTTTTTTCCCTTGGGCTGCTCCTGGCTTTTCCCTTTGAAAGGGCAGAGCTTGCTCAGGCCTTTCCCAGCTGCAGAGAAAAGGTGGCACAAAACAGCCCTGAAGGCTTAGAAAACTGAAAGGGGCTGGTAGGAGTGGTTGTGGTTTTGCAGGGCCACATCTGTGCAGGGCACCCGGTCAAGGAGCCTGAGCCAGTCGTGGCTGCGGCTGGGCCGAGCTTGGGCAATCTGCAGATGAGCAGAGCCCAGCGCTTCCCTTCTGCATTTAATAATGTGGTGCAGGAGGGGCCGGAGCTGCTGGATGAGAGCTGCTGGTTTTCTCTGTCACAGTCGGGGAAGATCTCTGCAGGGCTGAGCTGCCCCCAGCTCCCTGGAGGGCAGTGGAGCCGTCGGGGTAAGGATGATGTTACCGGCTCTGCCTCTGTGGCTGGAACCCAGCCTGGCTGCACCCACTGCGCTGCCGGGCTGAGCCACCCGCCACCGGCCCCCCGGTTTCCTCCAAACCTGCCAGGTACTGGGGGAGGGGGGGAAACTGGGTGGCCCCGACCAGCCCCTGCCCTGTAGCCAGCAGCTTGCTGCTGGTGGAGGAACCCGGTGCTCCAGGGATCAGGACCAGGACTGGGTGCTGTGGGAGTGGTGGGCAACCTGCCAACACCTGGGGACGTGGGGGACGATGCTGTCCCACCCCACCAGAGCACCATTAGGGCTGTACCAATTGGTGTCAGCCTTGTGGTTGGGGTGTTTGGAGCAGAAAGACTCCCCAGGAAGGTGACCAGTGAGAGATTTGGAGTGCTTCTGCCATCATACTTCTTTATCTTCTCTTTTGGGCAGATGCTGGAGACGGACGCTGAGAAGCTGGGGCAGATGCACTCAGAGGACAAGAAGGCAGCAGTGGATGATGCTCCTCCAGCCACAGAGGCACCAGCTCTGGCTGAGCCCTGGGAGGCTCTGGGAGCCACCCAGGGTCCTCTCCTGTCAGAAAAGCAGCCGGTGGCCCCTGAGAAGAGAGAGGAGCAGCCCAGCTCCCTGCCAGCCTTTGTCATCCCCGAGCTGCGGCTCGACAGCACTTTCAGCCAGAGCGCGGCAGGTGTGGCAGCTGGCACCACGGATGGCGAGGATGAGGAGGAGGAGGAGGAGGAAGAGGAAGATGAGGAAGAGGAGGAGGAGGAGGAGGAGGACAGCGATGAGCAATACTTGGAGAGGAATGAGGCGAAGCGCAGCAGCATGATTGAGACCTCAGGCTGTCAGCCTGTCTACACGCTGAGCGTGCAGAGCTCCCTGCGGCGCCGGACCCACAGCGAGGGCAGCCTGCTGCAGGAGGCCAAGAGCCACTGCTTCACCTCTGACACCACCCTCAACTGCTCGGACAGCCAGGGCACCAAGGGACACTGGGCCCTGCCCTCCCCCAGGACCCTCAAGAAAGAGCTTGCCAAAAATGGCGGCTCCATCCACCAGCTCACCCTGCTGTTTTCGGGCCACAGGAAGGTACGTGAGCCGGCGCTGGCTCCGCGGGGCAGTGGTGGTGGGGGAGCTCCAGGGGTGGAGGTGTCCTGCCATGTGGCCCCTCTCTCCATGGCCATGACAAAGCTGACATCTGAAGGTCTAGGAAGGTCCCTGCCACTGGCAGTCAGCTCTGGGAGAGGTTTAGCACCCAGGGGATTGTCACCCAGAGCCAGTGTGCTGGTGCTGTGGGTGGCATCTCTCCCCAGTGTGATCCTGCAGGGTCTCATGTCCTGGAGAGTGGCTGTCTCAGTGTCTGCTGCGACCAGTGGAGGTAGAGGTGCACCCACTTGCAAAGAGCTGCTCATAACAGCAGGGACAGGAGAAAACCAGGCTCCAGAGAGCCTCCAGTGAGAGTCCTCAGTGTGCTCAAGTATGCAAGGAACAGTGTGGCTTTCTGCCCTGGCTAGCCTCTTGCAGGGCTTTGACCGGTGTGGAGGGCCCATCTCAAAAAAAGGTTGACATGATCAGCAGTGATTCCTGACCCTGATGTGCAGAAAGGAGGAGCAGTGGAGGGCTGTGCCACAGGAGCTTTGCACAGGGATGGCCTGTGCTCACAAGCCTGGCAGTCTGGGGTGCTCCCCATGCCCCTCTCGGAGCAGAGCTTGCCCTGGTGTACTTTTGCAGGGAATAATGTGCTATTGCAGAGATTGTGCGTGAGAAGTGCTGCTTGCCACATTCTCCCCAGATGAAGCCTGGCTGGGTGCTGAGAGGGGCTACCTGCCTTCCTGCGGCGCTGGCCCAGCACCCTTCTCTGCTCAGCCAAGCTCTGGCAGGGGCTGTGGGTACTGCTCTACCTGGGGCTGTATTGCTTGGCTCAGGACCATGTTGTACTGCTCAGGGTTGTGTTGCATGGCTCAGGACCATGCCATGCTCCTCAGGGCCACCCTGCAGAGCGCAGGATCACATTGCATGTGGCTGGCTCCTTGACAGGAGAGGCTGCTGCAGAGCCCTGCATGCCACCAAGCATGTTAAACTCGTGATGGGGTTAACCCTCCTCCTGCCAGGCTCCTGCTGCTTGAAAAGCCATCTCTGATGCTGTTTCTGGGAGTGCTCTTTGGTCTCAGAGTCCCGGGCCAGCCAGTGAGAGCCTTTACAAGTCCGACAGGCCAGTTAGATGGGGCTGCTCTGCAAAAGGGGAGCCTAAGCTCTCTTGGAGGCTGATGCCAGCGATTGTGGGATGGGGGGGTTCAGACCCCCTCCCAGATCCTGTTGAGAAAGGACACCTTTGTGGCAGGGACACCTGTGCTGCCCTGTGCAGATGCAAGGGAGCTGGTGGCAGTGTCAGTTCCTGCTGAGAGTGTCCCATTAGGGCTGTCAGTGACGAGTCTCCTGGAAAGAGGTTTCACAGTGCCGCTGTGCGTGCAGCCTGGGAGCGCACAGCTCTGCACCCAGAGGCTGCTGCAGCACTGGCTGAGACTGAGTGGGCTGTGTGCCGCTGCCAGGGGAAGACCTGGGGAATGTATCCCCCTCCTGCCCTGGAGAGCCTCCAGCTGTGCTTTCTGGGCTGATCTGGGTGGATGTTTTTCCGAGCTCCTCCTGGATTAAACTGCTCTGGTGCAGATGAGACTGGAGTTTTTTTGAGTAGGGACTAGGGCAGCCCATGCTGGCAGTGAGGGCAGTGTGGCTGTTGGACCTCCTGGTGCTCCTGCTTCCAGTCCTACAGCAGCTCTGTCTGTCTGGTGCCGCCATCCCCTGCCTATATGCCCTCCTGGCCCCCTCCACCTGCTCCCATTGCCCTGCCTCTCCAGCTGCCTGCCCAGGGACTGAGGCTGCCTGGGGGCTGTAGCAGGCAGGGGAGCTGGGCCACCTTGTGCATGGAGTTTCGGGCTACTGCCATCCCCTTAACCACACTTCGGAGGGACTTTTGTTGGGTTGTGCCTTTTGATTAGTTCGAGGAAACCCTCTGAGGTTTCTGGAGCAGGACACTGATGTACAATTACCCCATGGATCCTCTCCAGTGACAGCACCAAGCTGCCAAGCACCAGCCATACCTGCAGACGGTGGCCTCTGTGGTAGGGCCACAGCATCCATCAAGGTGTTGTTTTTTTTTCCCTCAGGGAATGTTTCAGAGGGGCTCATTTTGTTGGTCCTTTTAATGCCCACCATTTCCCCTCCTTCCTGCAGTTGGGGCTGGGAGGTGGTTGTTTTAAGAGCGTATTGTGGCTGGGAGCGCTGGGACTCCTCGGGCGAGCTCTGCTGCTGCCTTTTGTCCCCGAGCGCAGTGGAGCCTCTCCGGACAATGGCAGGAAACGTGCTCCGGCTGCGTGTCGCCCTGGCCAGCCCGCCTGCCGGGGCCCTATCTGGTTGGGGAAGGTGCTTTGCAAGGGCTGCATTGTTTGGGGCTGATAAACTCCGGAAACCCGGGTGCAGAATGGAAGGAAGTGTCAAAAGCCTCGAGTCCGGGGCTGTGGGGCTGCGCAGCGGGTTCCCACGGCACAGCCGCAGGGCGGCGATCCTGGAAAGCACCCTGCAGCCCCCAGCAGCGCGGGGCTGAGCTGAGTGTGGGGTCGAGCTGGATGCAGGGCCGGCTGCAAGCATATTCCAGTCTCATGCAGTAATGGATGAATTACTAAAGCCCCTGACCTATGGTAGTCCCAGGGGTCCCCATGCCTGGCCCCAGGCTTCATGGCTCAGAGGCTGCATGGTGCTGCCCCAAGCTCACGGTGCGTCCGAGGTCCCTCTGGTTTGCTCAGATTGCCCCAGGGTAATGGTCAGGGAGTGGAGCTCTCTGGGGACTACCATGATATGATTCAATTATGGCTGAATTGCTCTGATTTTTCCTGCCTGGGGACTGCTGGGCAACCCCTGATTGATTTTGAGTGCCCAGCCTGGTTCTGCAGGCACAAGGTACTCTGTGGGCTGGGGAGGGGTCCCTGTGGCCACTCCAGACAGCAGGAATAGGAGCATCAGGAAAGGGGATGCGGGTATCCTCCCCACAGGAGGTACCACTGTCAGCTACTTGAACCTGGAGAGGTACCTGGGCCACCAACCATGGCATCTCCTCAGATGTTCTGGGGACACCATGGACTGGAGGTGGCATAGGATGGGCAGGGGGAGGCAGGTTCCTGTGCTGGAGCAGGGAGAAGCTTGTCCCATTGCACTGGGGTGGCCAGCTGTGGCTGTGGGGAGATGGCCCTGTGGATGCTGTGGGTCTGTGCTGTGTGGGTGCGGGGACCATGGGTGATGCTGGCAGGGCTTGTTGGTGACAGTTAGAGTGCCACTGTGGGCATGCACTGGCATGGTGATGCAGATGCTGTTTTTCTGTTCCCCCCAGCTGAGTGGAGCTGACCCCGAATGCAGCTGTGATGAAGGGGAAGAGACCTCTCGCAAGAAACGGAGCAGGAACCTGTAAGTGTCACACTGTGGTGGCATCAGAGTGTGCCAGGGCTGTTTGCCGTGGTCAAACACCTCAGCTCAGCCCCACTAGTCCAGGCAGACCTTAGAGTCTCCCTGTCTTGTTTCCCCAGGCTTTTCTGGGAAGAAAGCAGCAAAGACTTGCATGAATGAAGGGCACATTCAGACAGGGAGTTGTGATTTTTGGGGAGGAGGGTGGCAAGTGCACTGGGGGCATTGCACAGCTGGCTGGGAGCAGCCTCTGTTCGCCTTGCTTTGGCAGATGGGGCGAAGGAGCCAGCCCTTGCTGGTGGTGTGGGGAAAAGATCTTCTCTGGTGCTGGCAGAGCTCTGCTCCAGTGGCCGCATGTTCAGGGAGAGGACATGCAAGGGGTGAAACATGAGCTGGGGGCCTCCTTCCCACTGGCCCCATGCTGGGAGGAGGAATAGGGAGTTTTCCCACGGCGGGATGGGCTCCAGCCTTTGCAGTACATCACAGCGTGTGGGCAGTGTGACTGGAGCACCAGGCACAGGGACCGCTGAGGGACACTCTCAGCCCCTCTGCCTCTTCTGGTAAGGCTTTGGGGGTGCCAAAAAGTGGGTCTAGGCAAGGACAAGGCATCTGTGGCCTTTGCTTCCCATGAGCACAGCTGCAGCTGGGTGGGGGCTGGTGCACTGCCAGTGACCAGCAAAGATGTTTTGGAACGAACTGCCTTTGGTTTTGCAACATGGGATCTGGCCGGGTGTCAGGGCTGCAGGGATGCTCGGGGCTGGTCCTTCCCTGATCCATGTGGCTCGGGGCAGGTGGAGAAGCTGCACGTGGTTTGAGCAGCTCAGGGGGTGTGAGGGGGCCGAGGGCACCAGCTGTGTGCACAGGCTCGATGGCTTCGCCGCATGTGCTGCTTGCCAGAGAGCGGCACTGTTGTCCTGCGTGCTTCCTAGCTGCAGCTGGCTATTTTTAGCTCTTTTTATTATTTCCACCCTCCGCCCCCCCCCACTTGAAATTAAAATGAATCCCTCGCGGTCTGCAGCGGGGACATCCCCTCATCCACATGCCCCTGCTGCAGTGCTGAGCCGGGGGAATCGGGCTGGCGGGGGGAGGCTCAGCCACCCCCAGCTTAGTGGGGTCAGGGGCGGTTGCAGAGAAGGTTTTCTCCTCACCTTGAGACAGCAGCGGATGCGCTGGGGAGCCTCTTGGCATCGCACTGGCCGGCTATTGGCTGCGCAGCCTGGTTGCCAGCTGTCTGCGGGGAGTATTTATGGTGCAAGTGGCTGGGCTTTGGCACTCGCCTCCCCTCCCGGCACCGGCACGCTCTGCCGGCCACACTCGCCTGCTGGCGCTCCCCAATGTACCACGCGATGGTGGACTTTTCTGAAAAATACCTGGAAAGGTAGGACTTCAGCATCCTGCGAAGAAGGGTGATGTGCTTTGCAGGGGACGGTTTGGAAACAGCACAGGGCAATGGTGCTGGACGGTGCCTCATGGCCGTGCTGGGACACTGGGGGCAGATCACTTATAGGTGCAACTCCAGACAGAAACCAGCAATTTTTTATGAAGCATTATTTTTGCTGTGGCATTTTATACTGCAGATTGGCCTCAGCTGGAGGCTGTGCATGCCCATGGCTGCTGCAGCCTGGTTTTGTGCCTCTTGCTATTTATTTGCAAATGTGTGTGAAGGAAGCAGCGGGTTTTAAGTTTGGGAACTTCCTCATGTGGTGCTTGCTGGCCTATTACAGTTGGCAAATCTGCCCACGAGCCACGATCACCTGCGAGCCCCGAACCTGGTGTGGGGCAGGGCTACCTGCTGCTGCTGGTTGGCATGCAGAGAGGGCTCTGCAGGTGGAGGTGGCCCACGTGTGCTGGAGATGCACACAAGGGCTTTTCAGTCTTTGAAAGCACCGCGGGGTGCCGAGCTGTGGTGGCTGCCTTGCTAAACTGGGAACACTGCTAAAATTGTTGCTCAGAGCTGTGTGGGATGGCTTGTCCTGTGTGGTGGCTGGTGCTCAGCTGCCAGTGTTGCTGGCAGCACGGTAATGGGAGGCAGATGGTGTTTGGAGTGTGAGGCTTCGTGTTTGGATCCGCTTTTCCCACATTAGTGCTGAGCTGGTTCCTGGTAGCTGGCAGCAGTGGGATGTGTCTCCTGCTGGGACTGCAGCCCAGGTGATGCAAAGGCAGTGACACCGTCTGTGCCCCCTATAAGGGCACGGATGGCACCAGGGACTGGGGGGGAAACTGCCCTCTAAAATCCTTCCATGGCTCAGGGTGCTCAGCACCCTGCAGGACTGAGCCCTGGGGTTGTTGCAGCTATTTTTATTCCCCTGTGGATTTCTGTATTTTGCCCTCCTGGGACTGGAGAGAGCTGTGGGTTTAGATAGCATCACCCGAGGTGGGTACACCCTTGCCTTGAATCCCACTGCCCCTCGTGTCCCTAGCCCCTAGGAGCCGGAGGTGGCTCCTCTGAGCATCCTTGCATAGACCCGCTGATGTGGGACCTGCGGGGGGTTGCGGGGTGGCCTGGCCATATCACCCTGGCGCCTCGTCCACCCTGGTGGCACGGTCAGCCTTGGTGCAGGATGAGCATCCCCTGCCACTCTGTATGTCCCCAGCCCCCCTCGTCCCACGTTGTCATGCAGGGGCTGTGCCACGAGGGGACAGCATCGTCCGCGCCTGCCCTCGCCCGTCACCTCTTCCACCTCCTGCTCCCCTGCCTTGGCCCCTGGGAAACCCTCGCAGAGCCAGGCTGGGGCTGGGCTGGGGGGGGTCTCATTTTCCCATGACACTTGCCAAAAATCTTTGTCCTGCATGGTCCTGGTGGCAGTTTCCTGGGGGAACTGGAGCCCCGTGCCCGCGTGTACGTCAGTCTGTCTGTCCAGGGAGTGGGGACCCGTGCAGGTGGCAGCCGGGGGTGTCTGTGCCCCAGCACCCCTTGGTGCCACACGCTGCCAGGCCCAACCACCCCTTTATGGAGGTGTCCCCGCGGCCATGCCCCCCCCCCCGACTGGCACTGGCGAAGTGCAAACACCAGTGGGTCACGGGTGGGCTCCCAGCTCTGTCCCCGCAGGGGGGAAAGGGAGAAGCGCCGCTGTTCGCGCTCTGCTCCTAACACCCCTCAGCCCCGCCGCCGGCCCCGCTGCCTTCCCCGGGATGCCTGCGCTCTATAAATAGCCCTCGTAAATCCCCGCCGTGATTATTTTCCCTGCCGTCTCTTGAAAGGCCCTCGGTGATGATTTTTCCACCTTTCCTCGAGTTTCCCCAGCAACGGCGGAGCCGTCTGCAATAGCAGCGGGGCTGACACAGCCCTTACTCACGCGCGGCCCGTTGCCCCCACGCTGCGGTTAAAGCTCCTCGGGCCGAGCCCTCCCACTTCCGCGGGGCTGCGCCGGGCGGGAGCGCGGCACGGAGCTGCCGTCACAGCACCCGAGCGTCTGCCCGCGCTGGGAGCCGCTGCACGGGCCGTCCCAACACCATGCCCTTTTTCCGCGACCTTTCCAAGCCCCAGCCGCTGGAGTTTCACGCAGAGATGCTGCTGGGCGTGCAGAGACCCCACAACGGCAGCCTGCAGCGCCGGCACACCATGAAGGAGTAGGTGGTGGGCACGGGGCAGTGGGTGACGCGCAGGACGAGGCTGCTGGCGGGTCTCCTGGGTGTCCCCCCAAACCCTCGCCTGCCTGCTAAAACTTGCTCTTCCCTCTAGAGCCAAGGACATGAAGAACCGGCTAGGGATTTTTCGGCGGCGAAACGAGTCCCCAGGGGCCAACCCCTCCGGCAAGCTGGACAAAGTGCTCAAATCACTCAAGTAGGTGCTGTGAGCGGGTGGCGTGGGGCTCGGGGGCTGTGGGGGCTCGGGGATGAGCTGTGGCTGGGCTGAGGATCACCACCAGGGAGGCTGGGGTCACCCTGTTTGGGGCAGCTGTGGACAAACTGTTTGTATCTGGAGGAGCATCAAAAACATTTGTTGGCTGAAAATTCCCCCTCAGACGGGTGGGAGGTCTGTGCTCGGGAGGCAGCACAATGGCAGCCTTGGGCTGGAAGTTTCCCTGATGACTGCTTTCTCCTAGTCCCTGTACGTGAAACTTTTAACTGGCCGGAGGACGGTTTGGAAAACCACTTTGCTCTGGAGATGCTCCAGCAGCCGGAGATGAGCCCTCCCTGCTCTTGTGCCCAGCAGCTTATTCGACTGCTTAAATGGTGTGGCTGAAATCCCTGCTGTCTCGCAGCCTCCTGAGCTTTGTCTGAGGCTTTTCCAATGCTTGCTCAGACACCCCAAGTGGCACAGCTACCCGCACAGACCTCCATATATCAGATTTTCTTCCTGCCAGTTTCAAGGCAGAGGTTTCCTTCCATCAGAGCCACTGCCGTGCTGCCTGGCTCTGCCTGCAGATGCTCCGGCAGCGCTGCTGCCAACGTGGGAGCCAGGACCAGCCCTACTAGGGCACACAGCATTGCTTTATCAGCTGGAAATGTTTTGCTCGAGCTGTGTCGGAGCAGGCAATGAATACAGCTTTCACAGCTTCACTTTGCCAACGTGCTGTCCTTCTTCTGCAGGCCCACTCCTGAGGAAGCTCTCAAGTGGGGGGACTCCCTGGAGAAGCTGCTGTTGCACAAATGTAAGTGTTTGCCCATCTCTTCCACCATTGTTTGCTGCCGGGGGAATATTCAGACACCTGCATGGATAAAGCTGGGATTTCCTCTTAATCCCTGCTGGTGTTTGGGGGTAGACAAAGAGGAATGAGGCTGCTCCTTGCCTGCACCCCTTATGCTCTTGCCCAGACCAGGGGGGGATTTTGTGATAGGGGCTGGGGAGAGCCATGGCTTGGGGCTGCAACCCTGCTCCAGCTTGGGGGGGGAAAGGCAGTGATGTGTGTCTGTGCTCGATTCGGAGCTGTGCAGTGGGTCCATGAAGGAGGAGCTGCTTTAGACCATTCCCCTTCTCGTGTACCACAGCTGAGGCATCCCACATCGTGAGCCTGTCCTACACCTGGCCCCCATAGGGGTGGCCAGGGGGTCCTCTCCCCTTTGCTGTCCCTGCTCCAAGCCCAGCCTCCCTCTTGCCTCTCCATTCATGCAGTCAGGCTGAGGACTGCAGACTCAGCACACAGATGGCTTGCGTTGCCATGCTTGGCCTCGCAGTGTCATCGCTGCCTGCTTTGCACAAGGGCTCACGAGGGATTTTTAGGGGACACTGTGGGGAGGTAGTTTAAATTGCACCTTTTCAAGGCTGCTGGTCTGAGAGTCTCATAGGGCTGTTCCCTGCCTGCGAGCTGGCAGTAGAGATGTGTCCCTGTCCCCACAGATGGGCTCGCTGCCTTCAGGGCCTTCCTGCGCACCGAGTTCAGCGAGGAGAACCTGGAGTTCTGGCTGGCCTGTGAGGAGTTCAAGAAGATCAAATCCCAGTCCAAGATGGTCTCCAAGGCCAAGAAGATCTTCGCTGAGTACATCGCCATTCAGTCCTGCAAGGAGGTGAGGGCTGGCTGCCACGCTGGCGTGTGGCTCCACGGCACAGCGGCTGCCTGGGGAGCTGCTCACCAGCGCTGGTCTCTCTGCCTGCAGGTCAACCTGGACTCCTACACACGAGAGCACACCAAGGAGAACCTGCAGAACATCACCCGCAGCTGCTTCGACCTCGCACAGAAGAGGATTTATGGGCTCATGGAGAAGGACTCGTACCCTCGCTTCCTCCGCTCTGACTTGTACTTAGACATAATTAACCAGAAGAAAGGCAGCTCCCCACTGTAGACCCAAGGACTCTCTTGGGGGAGGCTGGGAGCTGTGTGTTTACATGAAATCGGGTGGCAGAGGCCTTCCCGGGGGGACGGCGGGAGCGTGCCTTCCTGCTGCCGTTTGTGCCCCCAAGCCATATTCCTGCAGCAGACGGGTGTGGGGCAGCTGAAGTCACCGAGCATGAGGCTGAGGGGACCAACAAGCCAAGCAGTCTGGTACTGCTCCATCTCCCCATCTCACCATAGCTGGTACGACACCTTCGGGGTGACTTCGGCATGGATACTAGCCAGGAGGGAAGCTCCCACAAGACTACTGTGAAGCATGTGCCCGAGCTGCGAGTGTTGCTGGAAGGTGATGAGTGATCCCGACTTGGTGAGGAGGAGGAGGAGGCCTTGTGCAGGGCTCTGGCAAGGGGACAACAGCACCGACGTGAACATCGTCCCTGGATAAAAGACTTCTGAACTGGACCAGCCCCGTGATGCTGCTGTGCTTCCCTGTGCCGGTGATGCCTCCCGGCTCCCCCAAAGCAGCTATCTTGCAGGAGCCCGGCGCTTCCTTTGCTCGTGGCAGGTCCCCCCGGGAGCAGCGAAAGCCGGGTCCTTCCCCTGCTCTGGAGGTGTGCAAGCCAACCGCCTCTTGCTCCCACCCCTGGTTTATTTATTGACCTCCTATAGCTGGACGCGTTGCTGTGTAATAGGAAATCCTTGTTTCCTTTCCTGTTCTGAAATTACAAGTGCAATATTTGTGTGTGTCGCGGCGGAGTTCTCCGGTGGAGTGGATGCCTTTTTTTTTTTTCCGAGTGCGTACATTTTCTAAGTTAGCAGGTTTTATCTGACAAAACACGTTCCCTAGCAGCGGGCCGCTGGGGGAGCCTGGGTGTATATATCATGCCCTGACGACGGAGGGTTTGGTGATGGAGAAAAGCAGCTCTGTGAATCAGATGCTCTCCTTACTCTGGATAACAATATTGTGTTTTGAGAAGCGGGGGTTGTTGCTGAACCTGGCAGAGCTGGACGGACTGCCTGCCTCCAAGTGCCCAGTTTACAGTGCGAAGCATCTCTGCAGCTAGCAAAAATACCTTGTCATGGTCATAGGTAAATAAAAGGAGAATATAATTTCTTGTAGCTGCCTTTTCTTCGTGGCATGTTTCTTAGCACTGGCAGAACTGGGTGAATCTGGCTACACCGAGGAGCATAAAATCCTGTTACTGCATGGCTAAAGATGGGAAAATCTGATTCCATGAATTTTTGAGCTGTTTTTTATGATGGAGCAGCTGCCAGATGTTCCTGAGGCCAGGCCTGGGTGTAGCCCCGCAGGAACACAGAAAGTTTTGCCCAAAACGAGTCTGTTCCCAGGGACTGTGTTAGCTGTTTAAACACAGCAAGGCATGAGCCTCTGAACATGGAAATGCCCAGAAATATAAGTGACCTAGTGTAACTCCAGGTCCCTCTGGGGACACACCAGAAGAAGCAATAAAAAGCCCAACAGTGCTATTTCAGGTCCCAGCTGTACAGCTTGGCAGGGCTGCTCCTCCCCTGGCAAAGGCAGCGCTTCAACAGCTCTGGTGTTATGATGAAAGCATTTTGTAAAGGCCGTTCGTGGTGTATTTGGAAGCTGAAATGTCTTGTGCCAGTCACCTGCTTGTGGTCAGCCTTGGATAGCTCAGAGATGTCTCAGGGCTCGGGTGTCACCGGGCCATGGTGGGCAGTGGGGCGGCATGGCACAGAGGTGCTGCTGGTGATGCCCAGGGATGGAGGTGTGAGGCTGCCCCAGCAATCCTGCCCGGGCACAGCTCTCCCTGGTAGATACAATCTCTTCTGGGAAACTGTCTGTATTTCCCTCTTTCAACAGCCAGCAGGTTATGGCCAGGTGGGGAAACTGAGGCAGAGCTGAGGGGACCCCCTGGGGGTTGGCTGGAGGCAGCAGGGTTTGTGGGGTGCCTGCCTGGCTCTCCTGAGGATCCTTTTGGCACCCCGGGTCGAGGCCTGTGGTGTCCCAGCTGTGACCTGGTCACCAACTCCAGAGCTGCTGGGACCCCGTGGGTCAGTACAGCCTCCCTGCGAGTGCTGCCACTGTCCTTCAGGCCAGCCCCTCCTCTTTCTCCCAGCATTGCTGAGAGCCTTCATCTTCTTTTTCCCAGCTGGGAGGCTTTCCCTTCATATCTGGCCTCAGCAGAGGTTTTCTTGCCCTTTCCTCACATCTTTCCATCACCCACATACTCTTGGCCTCCCCTCACTCAGTCCCAAGCCATCAGTGTTAGGAAACTGTTACTACAGGATCACTTTGTTGGCCCTCCTACTTCTCCATGCCCCTGGGCTTGCAGGGGGAGCATGCAGGGAACTCGCTCGGGGGCTTTGTGAGTACCAGACAGCTCAATACCTGCCGTTACCTTCTCTCTGCCCCAAACACCCAGTCCAGCAAGCTCTCCTGTGGCTGTTGGTGATGCCCAGGAGCACCCAACCTGCATAACCAGGCCTGGTTTCAAGCCCATAAGCTGTCTTGCTTACGTGAATTATCTGAGCCCACATGTCAGGGCAGGCAGCAAGGGCTGTAGCACCTGCGGGACATGCAGCGCGGGAGGCTGGTGCGCAGCTTTGAATAAACACCACCAACCTGTCTGCAGGGGACGGAGGCACTGGTGCATGCAAAAGGCAGAGAAATGGGGACCTGGGGTGAATTCCTGGAGAAAATGGAAATAGCCCTGCGTGAGCAGCATAAATTTCCTTATTGCTGTAACAGAATTTATTGCCGACCTGCCAGGTTGGCATGAGTCACTGCAAGCACCATCCCCACGTGCTTGGGAGGCGCTTGATTTCTAGGGGAGGCAGGGCTGGGCTAGGAGGTGGAGATGGCATTCCAGGTGCTTGTCCCATGTTTTCCCGGGACAACCAGTGCCCTCTGCAGCAGGACAGGTCTTATCATGACTCTGCAGTGACACCAAAGCCACAGCTTTGTCCTTTCTGTGCTGCAGGAGAGGAGCTGTGACTCTGAGTCTCCAAGACTTTGTGCCTCAGAGTGAAGTGTGTGAGAAACTTGGAGCATCTGGATGGGAACTGGGCGGTGGGACATCAGCTCACAGAGGGGATTTGTTCAGGGGGAGCGGTGGTTGGGAGCTCCACTGCTCCAAGCAGCTCCTTCCTTTTGCAGGGGGAGTTAGGGGATGAGGAGCTACTAGGACTGTTATGGGGTCACTGAGCTTACAACACAAGCAGAAGGGAGACAGAAATGTCCTGTTTAGCACAAAATAAGACAGCCAGGACAAAATCCAATCAGGCTGCAAGGGATGCAAAGAAGAAATTACTGAGTTGTTGATGCCAATGAAACAAGTCTGAGCAATGAAAATGGAAATTAGGTATTCCTGATTCCTAATTTGAGACACAACCTCAAACCAACTATTGCTGACAGCTGGGGGGATGTTCCCATGGCAGCAATGCTGAAATCACAGGGGGGTCGCCTGGGTGGGGATGGCCCTGAGGAGGGACAAGTGGTCTTTTGCAGAGAAAAAGCCATTACCTGCACCCAAGCCAGCCACCACCGAAGCCATGAAGGTGGTGGGTGGCACAGGGTGGTGACAGCGAGAGTCACTGCTGTCTCGAGCTCATCCCGAAGCTCAGGTGTGTGTTCAGGCAGCTGCCTGTGGACATCGCTGCTGCCACGCTGCCGTTTCACACAGCGGCCAAAGGCAACTTCCCAATGCGGAAACCGGTGCCTTCCGAAATGGGAGGCTGCTGTAGCGGACCTTATCTCGGCAGATAACAAGGATTTATCTCGGGGCTTAAAATTAGTGGTTGCTCGGTTGCAAGTAGTCACAACTCAGCTGTGTTTGTCATGTGCAAACAGGATAAAGTCCACGGAGGTGCAGATGCTCTCGGTTCATTTGTGGGACGAAGCTCACCAGGCTGAAGACAGCCATGAGGCAAAGCACCCCAGGGAAAGAAATCGAAAGGGAAAATGAGAATAATCACCAGAAGGTGCTGAATGCTTTGTTAGGTTCAAAAAATGCTGTGACCCCACTGGGAAAAACATCCTAAGGTTCTGGGTCTAATTTCATGGTTTCCTCACAAACCCCAAATAAACAGGACATGGGGAGGCTGGTAAATCAGTCTTACCTGTCCCAGGTGATGGGCCCTGACCCTTCAAATGTCTCTCACATCAGTATTTCATCAGCTTCCTAACACAGCAGCCAGAGACAGTTGCTGGGGTCACCTATGATTTACAAAAGCAAATGAAGTTCTGAAAATAGCTGCTATGTGAAAACACAGTTCAAGCTGCTGGGCACCTCTTGGATGAAGAGTTATTGGGAGTGGTTAATGAACAGCATGGGCATCCCCTGCTGGGGTTGTGCCTGTGAGGCCAGCCTTGGCCAGCACCGGTCCTCACCTGCGTGCAGGTGAGCATCTGCAGTGTCCAGGGTAGTACAACTCTTCACAGCAAGCTGCACCCAGGTTGCAACGGGGCCTCATTTCAGAGCTGGCTAGAAGCTGTGAGTGTAGAGCCTTTCTCTTTTTTCTGCAAAAATAAAAAGTTTGTGCTTTTTACAGGTGTGCACCATACCCTGAGACACTCTGGCAATGCACAGCCTTTATTGGGCTTTTCCAAGGCATCCATCCTGGAGTATAAACTTATCCAAATAAACATAACTTTCTACTGAGCAAAATAATTCCTTGGACTCCTGATTAGACAAATATTCTCAGAATAGAAACAAGGCTACTTTATAGCCATAGACTAAACATAGCTCAACAGCTAGATACTGAAACTGCAGACACAAGAATTCCCCTGCCCTGGTGAAACAGCTGACTTGCTGTGCGAGTCACTTAATCCCACTCAGAAACTTAGTAAGGTTTATCAGGAGCACACTGAACTCTTATTTGGGTAGCTGAGATGATCAGAAACGGACCAGAGACCCGCCACGGGAACACCCAGTCTTTGATCGTCTGCACAGCGGGGATGGAAATCGTGGTTAGTCTGGGTTTGTTTGGGGACTTTTGCTTCCACTGGGTTTGATAAGGGCCAGGGGGTACAGAGATGTATTTGAGGACTCTTGTCCTTCCAGATGGTGACCGTGGGGCTGTGCTCAGAAAAGCCATAGGGAGCAGTTCTGCGATGGGGGGTACCCAGCTCAGCACTGCACTGTGTGGGGTGTCATCCCGCCCACGGCAGCTACAAACAGTGATGTCCTTCAGACTGTAGGGACAAGTGCCACCAACCTCTGTGGCTGGCATTAGCAGTGTCATTCCTAAACAATCCAAGGGAACAAAGAAGGAGAAAATAAAACACTTCTGAAGTAAAAATAAAAATAGGCAGACTCACATGCTGTCTGTCAAGGAAATAAAATATGCTCAGCTAGGTTGCTGCCAGGACAGGAAATCCAGCGGTGGAAAGAGTCCCCTGGGTGCTGCTAACTTATTCGGGAAGCATTGTTATGACCCTCTCATTCCTCATTTTCTTATTCTTCTCTGCATTAGGTCATTTTCACTCAGCTCATACAGCTCACACATTCCCTGGTGCTGGGGAAGGAAGGCAAATAATGCCAGCTCTTGGCCAGACTTGAGGCGCTGGGGAAGGCTGAAGAAAAGGTTGCTGAGCAGACCTGCAGGGCAGTGACACAGGGTGAGGATGAGGAGGACCTTGTCCCCAGAGTGACCCACCAGCATCATCCCCCAGCCTGCTTTGGGTACCACTGAGCTGTGCACAGGGCACAGGCAGAGACAGGGGTAATGAAGTGGATTCTCACCTTGGAAAAATCTGGGACCCCCCCTCATCCTTTGTCTTCATCCCTTGGCAGAGAGCGAAGACGTGGGGGAGAGGGAGAAGAGCCAAGCAGGATCAGGTAGGGACTGGGGACTGGGTGTTTGAATAGGAGCCATTTGCAAGTAATTTCTTGTCCCTTCCTGAACTAATGGGGCAATTATTTCAGACACGTGTTTCTCATGGAAAGTTCCACCCAGCCCTTGCGTCAATTCATCAGTGTAGCAGCCCTGTTTTCCTTAATATGATCACAGTGTTTCTATACAAAGACAAGTGGGTGAAACCTCCTGCTCATGGGACTGGGGACAGCAGTGACTGGTCACAGAGTGCCAGACAAACCTCCTGGTCCAGGGCAAATCTAC